AAGTCACTGGTTTAAATTGCTAGATTGATCGAAACGATCGGCCTATAAAACAGTATGGGTATACTATTTAATTAATATAAAGGTTTGATCCAAATGATCCGGTATCAAAGTCACTGTTTTCTCGTTTTATGTTTTTTGTTCCTTTTTCTATACTTTTTTCTTGTTTTTGTTTCCCTAGTTACCCCCCTTACTCGGTTAGCTAGGCCTCGTTCGGAGAGCGTACCAGGAAGTTTTCTCAAGTTTTCTTAAAAAGCTATAACGGTACAACCGGAAGGTTTGCACGTTCCTGTCGAACCGTACCACCGGTACTCTAGAATGGGCATGTAGCCCGAAGCTGTCTCAAGTGGGTTCGACTCCGTGGTCTTGATGTTGTAAACACCCAGGAGCGCCATAAAAACAGTATGTAACTTTCGTCTACTGCGGTCACACATGAGGCTTAAGAAAAATAGGCCCTATAACCATTGGCTCAAGAGTCAGGGACACTATCTCTTGTGTTTATCTACCTCAAGAACGGTCGGAGCCAATTCGGTTCGCTTGCGACATGAGACTAGAACCCGTTACAGCTTAAAGGCTACTACCAAAATATCCCCCCCACTCTAGAATTAAGAACGTCCCCATACTTAGGTCTCAAAATACCCAAAATACGCGAACGCTGTTAAAAACAGGGTCAGAACAATCCGTTAAGTTACCTTTTATTGGACAGAGAACTTTGATCCATTTCAGATGGATCAACCTAAAACTCGCCTTATCTCAACATAACAATCATAAAACACACTCGAGAAAATTAAATTGGGGAATCACATGTTGATTTACTCGAGTACAGGGAGTAATTAAATTGGTAAGCAACTCAAGAATCAGATAATATAACCAAATAAATTTGATACTGGTCGGTTTTGGTAACAGAAGTAAGTTCTGGCTCTAGAATTTGAGTTTTTGTATGAACCATTGGGACACTCAAGCTGTCCACCTTTCCATTGAAGGTTCACTCTAGTTTGTTCCGAATAGTTGTTCTCTCTTCTTTTTATTATCTCTCCTCCTATTTCGGGATAAGACAGCTCTACTGGTGTCCTATTTTATATCTGGAAATTGCGAATAGCAATTTTCTGCTGTTTTTACTGAGTATTTTCCAGCACTTGTAAATTCGGTCGTTCTGATGTTTCACTTTGTGTTTACAGTTGGTACGAGAAAACTGAGCATGACAGGCTCCATTCGAAATTTTGAAAATTAAAATTCTAATCCGAAATTACGTATTTTCGTGTCTCTCAAGTTCAAACTTCCAGACATGACCGACTGGCACATTCGTTCAGTAGATAAAAATCATCATCTCCATCGCAGATAGATCAACCCTTTTCCTTAATTCCTAGCTTCTCATAGTCTGAAAACAATTTTAGTTGATAAAACTTTAATTCAGGACATGACGAGAAGTTGAGAAAATACAGTTTGAGTTCTCCACCCGAGACCCCTCCGGAATTCTGGAATCCGGGGAAATAACGCTCTTATTTCTTTCAGGAAGGCTGGACACGCCGTCCCAACACCCTTCATAATTTTCCGGATTTGGGTTGTAACGATTGTAGCGGCCTAATCGTTACAACTCGGAATGGTCTTGTAAAACTGTTTTTTTTTCCAGTCTCGATCAGTATCACACAATTTCCGTTAATTGCTCTTCTCAACGAATTATCGTGTTCTGTTTTCTTTTTGCAATTTTCAGTTGGCGCGAAATTTCGACGTTGTAACGTGTCTTTCTTTTCGAGCGAATTTTTAAAAATCTACTTGTTAGCTCAAACTAATCGTTCCTCGTTCGTTAAATAAACATTACGACGATGCATTTAATGCTGATATATGACTTCATTGATAAAATGATACAGTTTGCTGATATATATGCATCTTTATAACGCTGCTATGGCCATATCCAGCTTGTGCACTCACCGTAACTAAACAGAAGGGCCCCTTTTCTAATTTAGTTTTCAACAATACTGGATAAACTAAATGAAGCACCCGAAATTACAAATGTAGAGTAGATTATGTCCGCAAAATGCTGAGGTTAACGTAGCTATTAATGAAGATGACGTCTACAGGGCCGCCATGAGTGTTGCGCCGGAAGCTGCATGAGGTGCCACTTGTCTGCGGCCCAGCATGAGAAAGACTGCTTAAGTGATAAACTTGATCTGAAATCTGCGCCTTGAAACTGAAATCTGCGCTTACTGAGTTTGTTAACCTACTTCTTTCCTATAAAGTCCCAGACAGAGTTACACCCTAATTCGCTGGAGCAAATCTGAGCGCGTTCAACAAGTAAAACGGAGGCCTGCGTCCCTTTGCTCTGCGCGATACCTTGAACCCTGTTGCTGGCAAATGTGAAGCTCATATCCTATTTCTTGGTTCTGACTTGGGACCGATCTCTACTAAAATTGGTTTTATTGAAAAGCTGAAAGTCTTCCTTGTAATGAAAGAGCGGTTGAAACACGTGTTGTAATTCCATAGCAATTTTGCAGCGTAATTCCATGGCAATTACGATGCAAAACTGCAGGTGAAGCAATATGGGATTTTCAGACCCTAATCACATTGTCAGGTCATTTAAACCAAAGGTTGATATTTTCATAGATGGTAGCTCTTGGTCTATGCAAAAGTTTCATTGAAATTGACAGGAAATGTTGACCAAAATGGACTTTGGAAAGAGGCTTTTTGGAGAAACAACCTAAACATGCGTTTAATATTGTCCGATAGCCTATCATCTATTTACATGTTTAAAAATTAGTTTTATTCAGTTCGACTAGTAGTAGTAGTAGTAGTAGTAGATTAAAAGATATTTAACTTCTTAATAAACTAAAAATGCTGTCAGTGGGTCCGAAGTTTTCAATTAGAGACAAGTTTAATGCCGTTCCTGGATTTGAACAAAATGTATAGCAAGATAAGAGGGTAACCTGCAATTGGTATCAAAATTAACAGATACTGGGCTAAATTGAACTGTAGGAGCTGCGCATCAACCCAGTACAAGCGTAGTGTTATCCTAGGAATTGTACATAAATTGTTTTTGAGTACTTCTAGTTGGGAGCAATTTGACTAAGCTATGAAAACTTTTTTTTTATGACTAAGCTATGAAAACTAACAAGATGCATTGGCGGCTAAATCATTACCCTGAAACTTGGTCCGCAAAAATGGCTGCATACACCCCGTGGAAAATCATAGCGAACAACACACTGGAGACCTGATACGAGCAATCTTGTTCGTATTGCAACCTGGCTGTTTGTGAAGCTTTTGAATGTTGTAGGTTATTTTATCCTGATGATTTGCAAGATGTAACTTTATAAATGTAGTTGCATTGAGTTTTATGGCTCTTTACCGTAAAATAAGTCAGACGCAATAGCCGAACTAGCGCATTTTTTGCTGAAAGTTGATAGTCTATTATATATTTAAATGCGGGCTTCACTATCTCGCCATGTTTAAGCTTTTTCAACGTATTATTTTTGCATGTTTAAGCTATATCGTATACTGCAATGGTTAAGAATTTTTTTCGATTTTCTTATTTGTTGTTAGTGGTTATTTCACCGAGTTTAAATTAAGCAGCCCAATATCGAAATAGAGGTTGCGAATTTGGTCTCCAATTTTGAATGCCCGAATCATTTTAGTTAACGAGATAAAGACGATTTTTGAGATTTTTTCAAAAGTTTCAAATAACAAAAAATTTTACAAAATTTGAAGTTCCCAACCCTTTAGTTGGGTGCTGTCAGAGTACTCTAAGGAGTTACAAATCTTGTATCCAAATATGACTTCAAATCCTTGTAGTTATCGAGATATGACGTTTTTTGTGATTTTTTCAGAAAATTTTCACAAAACTTATATTAATTTTTTTCCCGCAAAATCTGAAACTCCCAACCCTGTAGTCGGGTCCTGTCAGAGTATTCTCAAAGATTGTGAGTCTTGCCTCCAAATATGACTGCTCAATTCTTTGTAGTTTTCGAGATATGATGTTTTTTGTGTTTTTTTGAAAAGTTTTCAGAAAACTTAAATTATTATTAGTTTTTAAAAATCTGAAATTCCCAACCCTGTAGTCAGGTCCTGTCAGAATAGTCTCAAAGATTGCGAATATTGCCTCCAACTATGACTGCTCAATTCTTTGTAGTTTTCGAGATATGACGTTTTTTGTGATTTTTCAAAACTTTTCAGAAAACTTCAGAAAGTTTAAAATAATTGTTCGGTGTTGTCTGGGTACTATAAAGAAATGCAAATCTTACCACATGCGAAGAACTTATCTAAAAGGAAATTCAAAAAATTTGAAACTACTAACTTGATGAAGATACAACTTTATTGTGAGCGTACACCCAGGCGTCTGAAATCTTGCCTCTTAATATGAATGCTCAAATCCTTTTACTTTCCACAATAAGACGTTTTTTTAAAAAATTTTTTTTCGGGAAACTTAGGTTTAAAAAAATTCACAAAATTTTCGATTCCTAACCCTATAGTAGGGTGCTCTCAGGGGCGATCAGTTGTTGCAAATCTGGCCTCCAATTTTCTCCAGAGGCCCATTAAGTTTTCGAGATGACGCTTTTAAAATGGGAATTAAAGAAATTTAAAAGATCGAAATTACCAACCCTGTCATTCGGTGCAGTCAGAGTACACTAAAAGTTTGCAGATGTTGTTTCCAATATATGCGGTTTTTCATGAGCTGTCGAAGGTGCGTTAAACGCTAGTAGGGCTGAAATACGCAAAAATCCAATTCTCCGAAATGAATTACAGCCCGAACCGAAGTTGTAATCTAGCTAATCTTTACTCGGTTCGATGATTTAATCTGTTAAATTTTAAATTAAAATTCATCGTAAAAAATATGTATATGTCGGCGATGACGAGTTTGTTTCGGATTTCGAAATTTGCTTAGAAGTGTATTTCGCTTGTTTTGAGATTTTTTCAGGTAAAATAATGGTCTCATGTTCATTTGTTTCGGTACATTAAGTTTGTTGCGTCATTTAACCTGAGGCTTACGCTTAATGATGTTTCATTTCAGAAACAAGTACATGGCCATTATTGTGACCAAGTATCCAGTTATAATGAGTAGATATTTGCCAATTTCGAAAACTATATGTCCCGTGAACATCGGGCTTTTATCATTTATCTGCTATCGATATCAAATGGACTTATAACATGGGCTCAGATTTTCATAATCGGTCAATAAATATCAATTTAATGTCTCCCATATTTCGAAGTTTTTGATAGAAACTTGATTGCATCGCTGAAAAGCAGTGATTGTAGCAATAACGATCATATTTGAGAACATATCGATTGAGAGAAATATCTTATAAATTCATGCCAAATGATTATTTTCTCAGTTTTCGTATTTACACGGAAGTTGCTTCAATTATAATTTGTGCTACGGCAATAACAAACAAACCAGTTAGGTGACAATAGTTTCATTTAACTTCATTTTATAGTTTGATTTACGTGTGGTTGTTCGAGTTTTGTCAAAATAATCAGTTTCGACCAGCAAAAACACTTCAGTTGTATTGAAAATCAATCTGTTGTCACATTAAAATAACTTTTCTTTTGTCATAGTTAAATAGGCTGACCAACTGTTCAATTACAGCGCAAGAAATATTTCTTCAAATCGAAATGCGATTTTCTAGCTTATCAATTTTTACGTTCTGGCTTTTTTGTTGCGTCCCAATATCTTCCGAAGTGCAACATTCCATGGCTAAAAAAGAAATGGTGGGACCACTTATGAAAGACGAGAGCATATCTTCTGGAGTAACTGAAGCTGAATATTCTATGCCCCAAACAGAACTGGATGGTGTTTTGAAAACTGGAGAAACTTGCGCTGCTGAGGATAGAAATTTAGAGCCATTATGTCCAGGCAAGTTTTTTATTAAGATTGAATATATAGTTCATGCTAATCTGTGGCTAATGGCAGAATAAAGACATGATGCATGTATAGAAAATTTATATTCGGTCATAAAATCAGAATCTCACAACATAAAAATATTGAGTTACGTGATATTGATCAAATTGGGATATTTATATATTCTACTCATTGCTCCGCCTCCGTCTAATTGAGCAGTCTTACAAAAGGTCTCAATATCATAGTTTCTGAAGTTCAGTAGTTTGAATGTTCTCAATTGACGCGAAGCTCCAGTTCTGCAGTTTTTTGTTGTGCATTTAAATTAATTCCATTGAATTTGGGAGATTTTTGTTGTTCGACATTCTTTGCGTGATTTTTTTGCTTGATTTGAGTTATCCGAAAGTGTTTTTCCATGTCGTACTTACACTTACAAAAAATTGGATTTTTTTTAAGATTTTTTTTCGATTTTACTGTAAAACTGGTTTAGTTGAACTTATGAAAACCTAGGAGGTTTATATATGTCCACTGATTGGCATAGGTGTACCGTACAAGTATGTGTTCACTGATTTTCACCGATTGGCATAAAGGTAGCGTACCCGACAATGACAACATAAGTGTATGGTTCGAGTGCCGAAGCCTGTTGTGCATTTTATTCATCAAAACCTCTTTTTGTTTTTCAAGTTTTGTCTGATGATTTTTCTAGTCTAGCATTTTTGGCGGCCAAGTATTTCATCTGTAGATTAAGACAGTAAAATTGGAAAGCCTTATTAACGAAAAAATAATTTTTTTTGTTTGGATGGTTTTTTAATTTCCCCTTCCTATCCTGCTTTACCCTCTACCTCTTTTCCCTTCTTTACGACCATGTTTTTGCTCCTTTCCAGGTTCAAAATACTTTTATACACGCATAATTATGGGTTCCAGTTGGGAATCGAACCCCTGATCCTTTGGATTCAATTCCGAGGTGTTAGTCAGTATATCATGGATCCTTAGAAAAAGAAAAAAAAGCTCAATTCATCGTCTTTCAACCATCTCTGGAAAAATGGCCTCTTTATGGACAATTCCATCTCAGAAAGTTTATAATTCCATTTTATGTTCAATTTTCAATGTTATTAGGTAGTAGTCTGTTTTATTGCAGGGCTATGCACAGCTTCGTTGCTCGATTACGAATGGAATTTTTTTCCTGCTTCGTGCGGCAAAAGAGTTGCTTTCAAATTTGTTCTTGAGCCGCATGGGTTGCAAGTTTTGGTTTTAAAGTTCTACCATTTCATCAAGATAGAACCAATGGTTTTTTCGGTTTCCTTGAGTTCTTTGACCTCTTATCAAAAGTCTGACGGCTATGTTTGGAGAATTAGAAATTTTGGCCACCGAAGCAAAAAATCTCAAATAAGAAATGAAATGATTTTTAGGAACAACTGTCAGTCGAAAGTGGAGCCCAGACGCAGAAGAGGATTCGTATCAATCCTTCGAGTGGCTCCACGCTCAGATAGACGACGACAAAGACGGAGAGTTAGACGCGAGAGAGACCGGCGACTTCATAGCCGAGGAGTTGCAAGGGGGAAGTGGGGCTAAGCAGAAGCATGAGTCACTACACAGCAAACATGACTCATTGATTAGTCTGCAGGAACTGTGGGACAACTGGAAAGTAAGTTTGCAAGAGAGAATTGCAAGAGCGTTTATTTATTTTTTTGGACCACAAGAGCGTTTAATTTTTTTTGTATTGCAAGAATATTTTCCTGGTTTTGTGCAAAGATTAGTAGCAGTAGTAGTAAAATATTTCATTTACCCAAATGGGAAATGCAATTGGGCAAAAAATCGAAATTGCAAAAAGTTTTAAAAAAATAGCGGCGTGAAATATATTTTGTAGATATTTACTACGCGAATTAAAAAACATAAAAATTGACACACGAAACACCGAAAAATTATTTGAGCAAATCATGAGAATTTTTTTTTCAAAAATTTCTTTTTAAACCAAGTTTTTGAGATTTCAGATTACGAACGAAGGTATTTACCACATGCTTTGTTTTAGAAGGTAAATAAGATAAATTGTTGCAGCTTTTGTTCCGAACATCGAAGGTGTGACTGAAGTTTTGATTCGGGAATTGTTTTTGCACGAGAGTCCATATACCATCAGCGACGTCGCAAGAATGATATATCATATTGAAACTTTTATAATAGTGATCTGCACTGTAATTAAAACATTTGAAAAAATTTCCTTGTGAAAAACTTTGGAATTATTTTGATTTTTCAGAACTTCTGACATAAAAAGGAAAAGTCTTCTTCTTCTACCTAAACCGATCAAAGTAAAAATAAATATGTAATGTTATATCCGAGTTAATTGGTAATCAGTTCACGAGGGCTATGTTTAAACACTCTCCCACACGTAGACCAAAAAGACAAACATTTCGAAGCAACTATAATTTTTTTCTCTTGAGTGTTTGTTTCCAATTGGTAACTGTCTTCGAAGACCAATTTGTCTCTGCTATTTGTCGAAGACCAAATTGGTCTCTGCTATTTGTACATGAACCGGCCAGTCTCGTTCAATTCACTTTTGTTTCATCTTTTGATTCGGACAAGCTTTGATTTTTGAAGTTAAGTTTGAATACTCTTTGATTTTTTTTTTGAATTTTAATTTTAATACCTTAAGTTGTATTTTTGCAATTTTTAATTTTTTTTTAATCATGGGTGAGTTTGATGAATGCATTTTAGCCATTTGAATTTTTAATTTTGAGTGAATTTTGTGAAATAAATTGTTGACTATTTGATGTTTGATTTCAAAAAATCCTACTTGATTTATTTTTCAAGGTGACAGGAGTTCATAATTGGACCACTTCGGATGTGGAAGAGTGGCTTACAAGCTACGTTGAACTCCCGCAGTATAGTCAGGTTTTCCGGAAATTCAGAATTGACGGAAGATCCCTTCCAAGACTGTGTATGACTTCGAACAACAGTTTGCTCCAGAAACTTGGAATTGTCAACCGATCACATCAAAGGAAGATCTCGTTAAAAGCAACAGATTTGGTCTTATTTGGTCTGCCGAGAAAAAATACACTTCTGAAAGATATTGTTCTTATTGCAGGACTAATAACATCATCCTTAGCTTGTTGGTATTTATTTTGGCAATATAACTACAGCCAAAAACAGCTGAAAAAAGTGATGAAAGATTTAACCAGCTTACAACAAGCGGAAGAATCTTTGAACCAAACGCAAAAACAGATAGCCAATCAGAATGAAGAGAATATTAACCAATTAAAATTGGCGTCTGTGAAAAAACCACCTGAAGAGTTTGCCAATGGGGAATTAATAAAGCGTCATAGTTTGGTTTCAGAAGAAGAATTGTTGCTTAAATTAGCTCAAAAAGACGAGCAAAATACAGCACTGAAAAACGAGGTGGAAAAATTGCAAACAATGTTACGAGAACAAAGCTTAGAACGGCTATCTGCAGTTTCAAGTAATGGATTCGAAATACCGCCTTTACTGGTTGAATGGCTTCAAATCACTCATGAAGTTGAAATGAAACATTTCTTAGCACGGAAAAAAGTCGCGGAACAGCAGTTGGAAATTGCAAAATTACATGGAGAAAAATTAACGAAAAAGCGAAATACTTTCTTAGGAGCGTTACAAGTTGCTCACGGAACGGGATTGTCGGGAATAGATAACGAGATTTTACGAGCCCGAACGGCGCTTACCGAAGTTACGAATGATTTACATGAACGAACGACCCGATGGCACGCTCTGGAGTCGATACTAGGTCGGCCCATTTGCAGAAATAGCGGAATGAAAGAGTTGCGAAAATACGTGGCGAATTATGAAAATATAATGAAAAGTGTCAATTCAGGCGTTGGTTTCGGAAGTATTTTAAACCATCATAATTCGAGTGGGTTTCATCATTCGGGCATGCAATTGGTGTCGCCCCCATTTAGCAGTGCTCAAAGTAGCTCGGCGTTTTCGAGGTCGGCGAGTCAACCTAATTTCAATCTCAGGTAAATAATACTTTCAAAAACTGCAAATATTGTATCTAAAATCTCAAAATTTGCATTTACTTCAGTGCCTGTACCTGTGTAATAATCTTCTAGTCATCAGAACAATTGATATTTAATTTCAGTTTTTTCGTCAAAATCCGTTTGAATGTTTTTTTTAGAAAATTGATACTGGTTGGAATAAAGAAATGTTATTTTGACATAAAATTATCTTTGTCCAGTTAAATAAAATTTCAATTAGTCAAAGGTTCTGCAAAATTTCAATTAAATAAAGTTAATTGGTTAGCCTCAATTCTTCCAGGTTTAATATCGTGACTGAGGCCATTTGGTGGAAATTAGTTCTCACTAGCTGTGGTGACGAGCTGTCGACTTGTGTGTGACTTGTATCATGCTTATCAAGTGTTCGCTACTTTTGATCATTTTTTTCTCGCTAATCGTATGAAGTTTTCGTTTTGGCTCTCATGTATTCATTCTCAGCATTGGCAAATTGAGGTTTTTATGCATGACTTTTTTTCGACTTAACGTACTATCTCAAAACGAGTGAAGTCCATCATCATTGTTTGCTGCTCGTCAAAGTAGTTTGGTTTTAGTATTATCAAATATTCCACTAGAAGTATTTTGGGAGATTGACATAGAGCAATTTATTTAGTGGGGAATGTTCGCAATTTGACAAGTTGACAATTTAGGGCAAATTAGTTCAGGAAAACCTTGCATAGAGTGGTTTGCCCGGGTCCAACTAGTAATTATACCCAATAAACGGAATATCTGATAATCTCAATTGTTCGGATTATAATTAAAATGCCAAGTAATCGCATGAAAACGTCAATTGCAGCGTCAGATTTGCATAAATTTTAGGTGTGTTTCCAGCTTGCCGAAGGGAGGTCCCATTTACGCCGGAAGCACCACTGATGATGTCTCATCGCTACCCGAAAGTGACTCAACTACAATCAATACAATCGATCCGAGGTAGAGTGAAACAAGTTGAACAAACTGATTTTTGTTAAATTCAACTATCGGAAATTAAGTAAGTTTTAATGTCACTCGTCGCATTGTTTTACGAACTAGTGCTTTATTGAATAATAGGAAATTTTTTGTGCGGAAAAAGCTGATTTAAGATGATAGAAAATTGACTCTATTTGGTTGCTTGCAATCTCCAGAGCAATTGTTTGTGAAATTCTGATAATATATGTTTTTATTAAAATAGCTGGCGTTTCCATGCACACTGTCTCAGATTCTTTTTAAAAATGCATAAATTAAACTAAACGACTCTAAATAACAGTAAGAGTAATTTCATTCATTTTCAGACAGCGAGCTCGGCTTCTGACTCAAAATGACGGATTGATTTCGCCGATTCCGATCGGTCAACGACAACAGAAGCTTCCAACCAGGAGTAAAATGGCACTGGCAGTACTGCCCGAAGATCGACCAAACGATCCAGGTAAATTGGCGCAGTGGGATTTTTTCCTTTCCCCCTCCTACATTATTTACTAGCAATTTTTTGTTTCACTTTTTCTAATTTTTATGAAAATTAAAGGCTGACTTAAAAAGCTATAGTTCTTAAATTAGCCCTGCATTATCCAGAAAAATGGAAACTTTAACTGCGGTTTTACATCTATCGGGTTAGTTGTTGAGCCAATTACATCAAAGGAAGCCTCTAATGTAGCCCAGCATAGTTTAAGAAGGGTTTAATTTCGAAAAATGCAATCAAAGCGTTACAAATAGTTAAGATAAAAACGGCCAAAGCATTATATCTGGTTTATTGGTGGCTAGTGCTGAACATTGTCAAGCGACCAGAGCGCAGATGCCAGGACGTGTGACTCTTAATCATCAGTTCGTGGTTCGATTCCGAGCCATAGGAGATTTTTTTATTAGTTTCTTTCCTTTTTCTCAATGTTTCACCTTTTATAGCGACTTTTCTCCTTTTTTTCGCTTGTTTGACAACTTGCAGCTTCGCATTTGTGTCTTAATGTGTGAAAGGAACATTTTGCGCAATTTGATTGCTTAGTCGATTATTCCTGTTCTCGATCTGCTTGTCAGGTCATTTTAAAATGATCTAAAATTGATTATCGTTTAAACATTATCAAGTTTGAAATATAAACGTTGTGATTGTCACTTATACAGGTCGCGATGATTTTTTGCGGCTTGACTTTGGTTTATTTTCAAGTTCAGCTAAATTTCTTCGCTTCAGTGTAAAAGAACAAAGTTATTCTCACTTATGCCAGTTTTAATGATATGTTTTTTTTTTCTGAATTCCTAACTTTTTAATTACCAGATAGTGATATTAATTTGAAAATAAACACCATTAACACGAGACGCACCAAGAACGCAGTTAGGCCATCTCTTGGATCCTGAGAGCTCAATAATTTTGTGTTATGGCCTTTTGAATCGATAAAGTTTCGCTTACGTAATATAGAATTTATCGGTTCAATTATTCCAGCTTGTCTGTTTTGCATTCTTTCCAGATCTGAAAAACTAGTCTGGGCGATAAGCTGCGCAAAAAAGTAGAGTTTTAAGCCTCTGTCTTAATAATGTAATGTCCAGGATTTCAAAGCTTCTATATAAACAATGACAAACAGATGACAAACGTTTTCTCTTCAAAGCTTGTTTACCTTTTCCCTTATTGGTCCGACTGTTTGAAAAATGAAGAAGAACTTTGTATTCGTGTGTGATTAATCTTTTGCTTTCCACTCAAAAGCAGGTACCAAAAATAATCATTGAAATCGGTCGAGTTTGAATGTTTTATATATAATTTAATCTAATAAGGTGGGTGTGCAGGCTTTCAATAGCTTGTTTATGCTTAATTTAAGCCGTTGAACCTAATTTTTACTCGCTTAAAGTTAGTTTTTGGAGTTTGTTAGCTCCATTTTGGGAATCAAAAATTTCGAAAATTCAAAAAAAACTGCAAAAAAGTTTGACAAAAATTATGGTCGGAACATACTGTGCTACCTGCACAGAAACCAGCAATAAGTGCTTTCCTTTTTCTAACTGTTGAAGCTACGTTTCTGCCGTTTCATCGCTTTATGGACCGTTTGCAGATTTGCCTCTGTGTTAAAAGGGCCAATCATAAAAGTATCTTGAAATTCAAGTAGCTTTATTGAATTTCGTTATCCGAGTTTTTTTTTCTAGTTTAATTTAGTTAATAATCTGTTGGTTATTTTATCCTTCTAGTCAATAATTGACCAAAGAGGTTAAGTTTTGTTGTTTGAAATCCTTTAAAACCGATAACTTTATTGTTGAGAGTATTATTTTCTACAATTAGTTATTTGTATTTCCTCAGTTTTGTTATTTACTTCTTTTGAAAGGGAGCTCGTGCCAAAAAAACGCAATTTTTTGGTCAAAAACTTTTTTGATTTTTTTTTTACAAAAAGTTACTTGCGGCACAGAAATTTTTGTCAAATTACTGTCAATTTTTCTGGTCGCTTGTTATTTGTTCTTTGTTTTCTGCCCAATTTGAGTTATTTCGAGTAAATTTTGACTAAGTCACTACTTCTTTGTCGACCAGTTTGTTATCCTGGTTTAAGGACAAATAAAAACATTTATATATCCCCCCAAGTTTTTAAAAAACATTTAGGAGAGCTTCTTAATGGTAGCGGCGTGAACACGGGGACTATCTCAAGTGTAACAACGCCTTCAAGTGTGGCTGGGGTTGCTAGTGGCATGAACAAACTACCCAATTCGAAATCGACTGTCTCATTTGCAGAAGACAATGAGTCTACAATTACGGGTGCTGGGAGTGCAGGAAGTGAGACTAGTAGCCGATTGTTCAATATTTCGAAAGAGAAGCGCTTTTCAACGGGTTAGTCAAAATACACACGCAAAGTGTTTCAAAATACTGATCCGTTACACGGTTACCTTAAAAATTGTAGATGTGCGGAGATAAAAACAGCCCTGGGAAAGGGGGGGGGGTGAGCAGGGGCTCGAGTAAGAGCTGGAGCTAAATTTTACTCTGGAGGAGGGGGTTTGAGAATTGAAATTTTTTTTCCGTTTTTGAGTTTTCAATTAAATTAGTTACTTATTCATCACGTATACGGGAGGATATCAGCTTTGACGGTCGAGACTAATTTTGCTCCTGCGTCTACCTCAACGCCTTCCCAAATAGTAACATGAAATCGTGCTCAAAAAGATGAAAAAAAAAGAACAATATGTGCCACTTGAACAGCAGCCGCCTATCCTTGTTTCTTCGAGTTGATTAAAACTGTTTCCTTATCTAATCTCTTTTTTGTTTTGGAGTCAAATTTTTATCGTTGAAACTTTTGATTTATGCTTGTGTCAATATACGAGTTCTTTTTTCAACTGAAGTCGCAAATTTTCAGATCAGTTTTGCTGCTGTATATGCATATAAATCCAGTACAATCGAGTTTAAGTGTTGATACAGTCCATTGCGATTATTCCGTTTCGACTATCACAGAAAGTGATGAAATAATTGTTGTCGGGTTGATTTTTTTTTCAGACTAAGCTCGACCTTTTTGCCAGCGTATTTTGATGGAGTTCTTAATTCAAACTGAAATATATAAGTTCTTGAGCTGAAGATGAAAAAGTTATTTTAGGTGCAATCGCTGTTTTTTATTTGTTTCAAAATCACCAATTTGTCCAATATGGATAACTAAAATCGAGATATTTTGTCCTAAGGCCTATAATATGAATGATTCGGCGAAATTTTTGAAATATCCAGGAAAAATTTTGACCGTGTTAAAGATATCCCGACCAAATTGATATGTCACGGTTTGATGCGATTTTAGAGTTAGTCATTGTATAATGGTATGTTTACTAAATATGGACAAGTTGACGGTAAGAGAAGGGGTGGATCTAGGATTTTCTCGAAGTAGTGGGGGGGGGGGCAGGCAAAATTTCGGAGAAAGTCATTTTTGGGCACTTTTATCCCTCAAAATTATCATATATTGGCGCCGGAGGGGCCTTTAGAAAAATTTCAGGGTCCGTCCGTCACCAAATATGGATATCTCAAAATAGTGCAAAGGGGGGACCCTTTGGGTCGGCAGGGGGTCGAATCCCTGAGCGGAGGACGCGGACGCGTACGCCCCCCCCCCCCCCCCCCCCCCCCCCCCCAAATCCGCCCCTGGGTGAGAGTGTTCGGAAAATCTGGGGTATGGGCTGCCTTCAAGTGATTCAGAGTTTTTTCTTTGTACAGATAAGTTTTTTCGAACGTGATTTTTACTTGAAATTAAAAATGACTATTTTTTTTGGATTTTATCTGTACTTTCTTGGCGCCTAGGTTATTTAAAACGCTATAATTTAAAAAAATTAGATCTGTTAGGCATCCGTGAAAAGTTTTAATCATTTTTTTCAGTTTTTATAGGACAGGAAACTGACGAAACTACTTCGCTCGGCTCAGTCTCAATATTGTCGGCTATTTCGACTGACGACCAAATGAGCAGTTCAACTCACAAGTCTTCCCCGCAACTGCCAATCATGACGTCACCAGGCAACCAAAAAGACAGCAGGACCAAAAAGAGCAAAAATGATGAAAGCAAAAAGAGCCATCGAGTGCTCAAACACAGCAATACATTTGACGGCAATTTAAGCGAAAATGAAACCGCGAAAAAGAAGCATAAAAAAGGTTTGCTAAAAAGACTCTTAACTTCAAACTCACAGAAATCGAAATCTTATAACTCGTCTTTGGGCAAAAGCAGTTCAAAAGAACATGAGCTTGAAAGCTCGAGGACTAACAGTCTAAGAGATACTATTACCAATGAGTAATGATTTATAATCTAGTTAATTGAGTAAAATTCGGTAATCTGGTGAAATTCAAGCGCAATATTTCAGTCGACATTAAAGAAAGGATTTTGGGAACAAGTCGCCCCTATGGTATCTATTAAATAAGCTCACATCCACGACGAACTATGTCAACGGTATAGCTGGATGTGCTAAATCTACAATGAATAACGGATTGATTCCGCCATATTTTTTTTGAAATAAAGGGGTTTGAATAATCTTCACAGAATCCTCAACTACTTGTATAAGTTTATTATTGTGTGTCATTGATTCTCATGCTTGATTTTCACTATAGAAAATTAATGCAATGTAACTTAACTGCACAATTATTTTGTTCATTTTAACTGATTATCTTCCGTTCTTTTCTAGTAGATTAAATATACTAACCTATATTTACGCTAAATTGGTGAATTTAAAAATGAAATTATAAATGTTTATTGAATATTAATATTCGAATTTATTTTATTTTTGTAAATTATAAGCGATAGACGTACGTTCAAATGCTCTATGATTTTGGGATAAGGTTGGTTTTTTTCTGGATTTAACGTTATGAAAAAATTGGATTTGAATGATTGATCTCATCATGTGCTGGCATGTTTTAAAAAAGGGGCTTTGCTGGGTATTCTTAATTGTATCTGGGAGATAAAAAGGTCAAACAAGTGAGCCACCATGCAATGGTTTCTTTCGGCCTTGAAAAGTGGCCTAGAATTCGTCCAGAATTTTTCCGATCCGAAAGCAGTACAAAGACTTATTTCGCTCGCAAGAAGTTAAAAAAAAACGCCAAAAAGGCGTTTTTGCGAACCATTTAGTCGGCAGGGTGTAGAATTCCCGAGGAGGGCGTCCGCCCACACCCCGTAAGTGCGCTTGTTTTAACCCTGAAAATGGTTTTGAAAAAAAAACATTAATCCCTGAAAATGTTTTAGAAACACCCCCCCCCCCTTACAAAACCCTGGAACGCCCCCCCCCCCACAAAACCCTGGAAACTAATTAACTAATTTGAACCCCCCGCCCACTACAAGGGATTATTAATTCGCATATTATGGGATTACTAATTGAAAAACAAACTTGATAGCGAAAGTATTTCCAAATAATTTTGAATGCCTATCAATATAAAAAGGTGCTGTTTAACATGGTTTTGGTTATGACTTGTTAAATGCAATCTAAGCTGAGATTAGCAGCTTAATAACTTCATCGAATTAACCGTAGAAACAGCTTTTTTCGTGAGGAATTTAGATTATCGATATCGAGTCCAGTGGTTTATGTAAAAAAGGAGCAACATAGAAGCTAATTGCTCATTACGACAAACCAACGTTGAATTTGTTTTTTTTAAACTGCAAGCAAATCATTTTGCTACTTTTCTGTTTCTGCTATACCAATTCCAGATTTTTTTCACTCCTTTTCGAAGTTGAATTCAACAAAATAAAAATTCATTTGAGCAAGAATTATTACACTTTGTTATCAGGGGAGGATCTAGGATTTTCTGGTGAGGAAGCGGATTTTCAAAAAAAAATGACAAATGATTTTCCGAGCGATCCCAGATCATGTAAAAAAAACACTATTTTGACTTTTGATTGATTTTTCTGCGACGCAAACTAACTTATGAAAACATCAGGTCAAAATGACGTCTATGGGCGCTTTTTGGAAAACGTTTTACGAAAAAATTGCATGTTAGGCGCGTCATCTGCTAAATTAGTATATACTGGCGCCAATATATACTAATTTATGGGTGCCTTTGGAAAAATGTATACTTCGGTCGCCGAAACTGGATGTCATAAAATAATGGCAAAGTGGGAGGGTTTTGTAACGGATTTAGAATTCCTTAGGGAAAGGCAAATCCCCCATGCTTGTTATCGAAATTTTATAGTTTAAACGTTTCAAAACACGAGTAAAAATCGAATTAATTGCAAGATAAACGTTGAAAAGTTTTTATAACGACTACTGAAGACAAATGATTGAGTCAAATGACAGGACGAGCAGTTTGTTACAGAGCATAGCTATCAGCCTGCTTGTTACACTTACGCTTGGTAAGGGTCATCCACCGAATCTACCTCAAAGCGGTTGCAGGCTTGTTAAATTTTTAAAATTCATTGATCGTAGTTCAGACTCCTATATAGGTCGTGATAATTATTTTCTGTTGTTTTATCGCAAGTCTTTTTTTACTCGTCTCTTTTTACTCACTTTCTAAATCCTTCCAAAATTATGGAAGGGTAATGTTTCACCCAGATTTTATTTTATTTGTCATTTTCCTCGAAGCTTCCCTGCCAAATCTGAGATTTTGAATCCAATTAATAGAACTGCGTGTGGGAAGATATTCTACATAAGCCACTACGCCCTATTTTTTTTTTGAAGACTTGGTTTTTAAAAAGGCAAATTTGTAACATTTTGTTCGTTTAGTTGAAACATTTCAAAATGTGCCCTCCAAATTTATAAGGAAAGTTTCAAATGAAACAACTGGTAGTAGGTATCTTCGCGGCGTAACCGTCTATGCCCTTTTTTAAAGAAAAAACATGGCTTTCAAACATACAAAATTTTGAAACTTCGACCGTTGTTTGGAAACCTATTTCTTCCCTAAAACTGCACAAATAGATTAAGCGTTCAATTGAAAAAAAAAACAGATCGCATAAAATCATTTTTGAATCAATTGAAAGGCATTTGAAAGTGAATTAATGTTACGAGAGCACGTGTCCTGCAACCGAGAACTAGATTTTTTCCGTAAGCAGTTTCTCTTAAAAGAAATAGTGATTGCTGTAACGTCAAACCTTAACAGCTTCCTTTCAACTTGGCTTGGAGATATTGGCTCGGGGGTTTCAGTCCTGGCAGTGTCTTCTTGTATGATATTGAAGTTTTCCGGTACAAACTGAATTTTAGGACTTTCCTTTTTCTGCTCAAGTTTTGTTGATTTAGGTGTCAAATCAAGGATTTTTCTTGTGCTGTAATCAATTATCAGGTTGTTTCTAGTGTCGTTCATTTTTTTGTGTCAAGTGGATTTAAGTTCATTTTTTTTGGTTGAACTGGTTTCTGCTCAAATATTCATATGTTTTGTTCCGCTACTAATTTTAACTCAAATGTCCTGCGTAATCTCTTTTTCTAGAATTTCTGTTACATAAAAACAGGTAGTATGAAACTGTTTGGAATTGGGCTTTCACTTTACCATTGCAATAAGCAAGGGTATTCCAATCGGTTACTAGACTTAATTTTCCCTAAATTACTTTGTTAACAGGACTAATCGTGCAAAGATCATGAGTTCGAATCTGATCAGGACCTTTTTTTCGAAGCGCTACATTTCAAGCAAAATTATCGGCCTAATATAATTGAGCTGGTTACTTTTTTGTCGGCTTTGTTGCTACATCTGAGTTTCGTTTAATTTGCTGTAGAAATTTCCCTTGTAGCCGTTTTAAGTGTTTCACTTCTCAAAAGTGCGGTGGAATCGAACTTCGATTTTTATTTTGGTGGTAAGTTCTCCAACTCGGCTTATTAAAGTTTCCTTTCTTGTTTTTTAAGTTTCGTATTTTTTTCGGCTTTGTCGGTTTCATTTTTTATATCGTCTAAGTGGCCTCATTTTGAAGGTTTCTTTTGGTGTTTTCGGTTTTGTTACCGCTTTGTAATTATGAAAAAAAATTCAATCAACTATCCAACGCATCTGGCGTAGAAGTAACACAACGTTCTGAAACGGTAGAAGTTTGTGGTTTGTTTCCGGCAGGGACCTGTTTTTTTTTCGTAAATTAGTCTTCTTTGTACTTTTTCCGAATATATTCTTCTGTTTATTTCTGTCGGCATAGTTCATGAAGCCCGACCTTTTTTTGAAGTTCAGCTTCCTTCCAAGTTGCTGCAACAACAATGGTTGAGACCACACATCCCGGAAGATTAGTTCTAGCCAAGACCTGTGTTTTTTGCAAACTGAAAATTTTCGGCTAGTTCAGATCATTGTCTGTCTGCTTTTTTGTCGTTTTCATTCCATTGAAAGTAGTTTTTTGAATTTACGAAATTACTTTTATGGTTTTTACTGGTGCAGGTAATTTTTTTCGGATTTAAGATTTTTGCAAGTTTTAATGACAAAAATGATATTTTTTTATATAAGTTTTTGATATACGTTTTTTTTTTTAATTTATCGTTTTCTTTTTGACTTTAATCACTGTCATTCATTTTTGTATACCTAGTTGTGCGAAGCTCAGTTTTGTCTCTGCGTCATCTTTAAGGGAGTAAGAATTTTTTTGAATTAGTTAGTTGCAATCTATAAAAGAAAAATGAAGATTTGTAATAAAGTACCGAAAATCCCTTAGGTTGTTTAAACATCAATATCCTGTTGAAGATTGGACGACCATTTGTAACAAGTGAGGATTCGTAATCTGCGAAGATTGGTTATTTTTTAATGGTCGACGATTTGTAAATAGTGGCTGTTCAACTCTGCATCAACCAATTTGCATCAACCACTAAAAAAATTACTTAATATGAAACTAATTAGAAGTCAGAGCTAAACATTTTCGAAGAAACATTTACGTTTTTTGGTTGTGCGTACAGATTCTCTGTCTCCCATGCTCGTAATTTCTTTTTTTAATTTTCAGCTGTCTTTTATTTCTTTCCTTTGGGTTTTATTCGTACTCGCATTTCATCCGCCAGTCGTTGTTCTCAGCACTCAAAATGAATGCTCGCGAAATGGAAAAGAATTTAATTTATGGCAGGTATTGTGTTTTATAATTGGAGCTTGGATGCACGCTTCCAAAATATTGGGAATTGTATGATTTTATTCGGCGAGGCTCGATTAAATTTATACAATTCGTAATTTTTTGGGTGAGCGCACCCCATCAATTTAGAAAACACAATAATTGCCTTGAATTAAATTCTGTTTTTTTTTGGTTCCGCGAGCGCTCATGTATATTCCGTAGTTCTGGGATGGGGAAAAAGGAAGCTGTTAGGTTTTTGTGCGAGAATTGATCGTTCAAGAGTTCAAATGGTAAATCCAGATCATAATCAAAGATAAAAGTGATCTCAGTATTTCATCAAAAATTGGAGTTGATTTTGGGACATTTAAAGAGGTGCTTAACCAGCTATTCGTGTTCGGTTTATCTTCAATTAGCATGTGCGAACGGAAAACTGATTGGAAGGCTTCAAAGAATTTTTTTTTAGATTTGGGA